GTATGGTAAGCCGCAAAGTGGAGCCTTCCGAGCAACTGGCTCATCATGTTATGCGTGTGGCCAGACGAGTCACATGAGCCGGGATTACCCCAAGAAGGGCTTGATTTTTTTCCATTGCAACCAGACCGATCATAAAATGGCTGATATTTCGAGGTTGTTTAGAGGAGGAGGAACAGTGGCGGCGCTTGCGCCGGCCACAATGAGTATTACAGATGGTTTCCTGATCAAGGCGGAGTCTCCTGCGATGAAGAGTCGCACATTTTAGTTGACTACTGAGGAGGCCCGAGTAGCGCTTGACGTCGTGACTGGTATGTGATCTATTTATGTTTTGTTTATTTTATTATTATGCTTATGTTGATATGATTTTATATAAGGACCTTTTTGGTCAATGTTTTGTTGGCTCAGATTCTTTTTGATTCGGGGGCTACCCAATCTTTTGTTTCTCTTGCGCTCAGCAAGAAGTTTCGCGATGCTCCGGGGACTTTGGATTCCCCGCTCGAGGTGGAGATTGCGGATGACTGCACCGTGAGTACTGCGAGGGTATTTCGCAGGAGTGTTCTGAATATGTTCGGGTAGAGGTATCCTATCAATTTGGTTCTGATTCCTTTGTAGGGATTGAAGGTGATCGTCGGGATGGATTGGTTGGGGCCCAATAGGGCCATGATAGATTATGAGCGTCAGTTAGTGAGGGTTCGAACCCCAAGTGGGGGAAAATTAGTTATTCATGGAGAGAGAGCCTCACATGGACAAACTCTTTGTTCGGATGTGAGGGCTAGGAGACTTCTTCAGCAGGGTTGTATTGCGTTTTTGGCTTACGTTTCGGATACAAGGGTAGAAGCCACACCAAATATGAGTAGGGTACTGATTGTGTGAGATTTTCCTGATGTGAAACAGAGGAGTTACCTGGGGTGCCTCCCGAGAGGCAAGTGGAGTTCTGTATTTATTTAGTGCCTGGTGCGGCTTCGATAGCTAAGGCGTCGTATCGTCTAGCTCCGCCTGAGATGTAGGAGTTGTATACGCAACTTTAGGAGCTACTAGATTGGGGATTCATTCGTCCGAGCAGTTCCCCCTGGGGAGCACCAATTATGTTCGTGAAAAAGAAGGATGGGTTGCACATGATGTGTATTGATTATCGAGAGTTGAACAAGCTAACAGTGAAGAACCGTTATCCGCTTCCGAGGATTGATGATTTGTTCGATCAGCTTCACGGTGCCTCATGGTTTTCCAAGATTGATCTACGGTTAGGGTATCATCTAATGAGGATCCGGGATGAAGGCATACCAAAAACGGTGTTCGGAACTCGTTATGGTCATTGCGAGTTTTTGGTGATGCCATTTGGGTCACCAATGCTCCAGTAGTGTTCATGGATCTCATGAACTGGGTTTGCAGACTGATGTTGGATTAGATTTTGATTGTTTTCATTGATGATATTTTGGTCTATTCTAAGACCAATGAGCACCACGAGCAACATTTGAGAGAGGTGTTGTACACCTTGAGGAGGAAGAGGCTTTTTGCCAAATTCTCCCAATATGGGTTTTGGTTGTGTGAGGTGCAGTTCAAGAGGGTATTTTGGTGGATCCTGCCAAGATTGAGGCGATAATGCGTTGGGAGGTTCCGAAAATGCATTTGAGAATAGGAGTTTCTTGGGATTAACGGGGTATTATCGGAGATTCATCCAGGATTTCTCCAAAACTGTTGTACCCTTGACCCGTTTGACCAAGAAGAGTGTGACTTTTTGGTGGGGTCCAGATTAGCAGTCGACTTTTGAGACATTGAGGCAAAAATTATGTGAGGCCCTGATTCTAGCTCTACCCGAGGGATTGGATGATTTTGTAGTGTATTGCAATGCTTCTATTTCAGGGTTAGGAGTTGTGCTGATGCAGAGGGGGCATGTGATCACTTATGCCTCGAGGCAGCTGAAGCCTCATGAGGCGAACTACCCCACTCATGATTTGGAGTTAGGGGAGGTAGTTTTTTCCCTCAATATTTGGAGGCATTATCTCTATGGGGTACGATGTACCATCTTTACCGATCACAAGAGTTTAAAGTATTTGATGAATCAAGCAATTGTACTGATGTGTGTAAAACCAACTAGTTTTAATCCTACTAACTTAAACACAAAGACAAACACACGAAAGGCAGTGTACCTATCGATTAGCAGTTTAGTTCAGGTAAGTAGGGTATCGAACACAGGGAACGGTAAACAATTAAAATAGATGCTAATATTATCTAAATAAAACAAGTAATAGAAAGGGGGTTTTCTCTAGTTTTGCAAGACTAGAAACTTAAACAATTAACTAAAACTTAAACTAAGAAACTAAGAGCTAAGCAAATAAAAATCAACTAAATTCAATAATAAAGAGGACTTCTGTTTAGGTTCGACTCATTTGTTCCCATGGATTATTTCGATGTATCGGATTAATTCTTCATTAACTACCGACTAAGATGATTAGTTCCACGTTCGCTATTACTAATCCTTAGGAAACAAATTAACTCAAGCAGTGGCCAGTTGTCTAAATCAACGGATTTCCTAGTTATTGATTCGGGTTTAGAAAGACTTGTAATTAGCTAATCAAATTGGTGATTCAATTAACCTCTTGTTGATGGTGTATCACACAAGCTCACACATTAACTTACCTATCTTCAAGTTAATTCTAGTTTCACATTCGTTATTCCTAGACATACAACTATGTGGTCACGTAAATCATATGAAATTAGCAACTAAGAGATGTTCATACAACTTAATTACTGATTTATTAATAGAAGAATAGTTATTGTCAACACATAAGGTTCTTTAACAAGCTTAACAAAACATAATTACCAATCAAAATTAATCCTACTCAAATAATCAATCCATGTTCACAAAATTGTCTACCCAAACAGAAGTTATGAGTTTTTAGCTCATGATTACAGCAGAAACAAGCACAAAAACGAAATCAATTGGTAAAAACATAGTTCAAAAAAGAGATTAGGTAAGAGTAAACTTGATTTTGACTTGATTCTCCTTAAAATTGAATGTAGGGTTGATTCCCTTGCTTCCCACGCTCTAGCAGCACCTTTAGTCGACAATTGGCCTCCAAGGGTTCATCTATCTCCTAGGGTATCGATCTGAAAGTCCCTTTATATAGATTTTCACAAAACAGGGGCTACTCGGCGAGTCCATTGACCTACTCGGCGAGTCCATCACTTAAAACCCGTGTGCGGCAAGTCAGCGCGTCCAGAATCGCGAAACTTCTGACCAACTCGGCGAGTAATCGAACCTACTCGCCGAGTACGTTTGGAATCAGCATTTTCTCAAAACACGAAAGTCATCCGAAATTGTGTCTAGTTTTCAGAACATTTTGAATCTCATCAATCGGAGTTACGGTTCATGAGATATGGCCAAAACACTGACGAGGGGTCAAGCTGTCCAGCAACGTCCTTCTTTCTTCAAAATCCATGATCCAAGCGTCCAATCGCTAGTTCCGCTTCATTTTCCTTTCAAGCATGTATTTGTTGCTGAAAATGAAATATTTAATCTAATTAAGCACCTTTTGTTCATTAAATGAGACAAAATCAACATAAAGTATTAAGATAATGCATGAATTTTATAACTAAATATGCCCATATCATGTACAAAAATGACCTATAATCACACTTTACAAAAAACGGTCTTTCACGCTTTTTATTAAAAGTGTGGCCAAAGGTCACTAAAAAATTTTACATACTATTTTTGGATACATTTAAATTAGTTTGTATGGCCATTGTATAGATAATCAAATCGTTAACCACATTTAATTTTAACAAACGTGACAATTATTTGTCACAGTCGAACAACGTGGCCATATGTCATCACCCGCCACGTATACCGACTAACGTTGTGAAATTATTTTTATAAGAGACGGTAGATAAATATATGGTCACATAAGGTAATTGTATATGTTTCTGTATAATGGTTACGATTTTAGCACATGAAATCCAATTTAGCTGATAGGTGACACATATTACCACATTAGATATTTTTTGTATATAGGATGGTGATTACGAGTGACTTAGTAAAAGCAAAAAACCACGTTACTTTCATTGGTTTATGGTCATGTGCCTTTTATTATGTTTGTCAAAATATGATGAATTAGCTTTGAAGAACAAATATTGTGAATGTAAGTACCATTTGGTTATGGTTACAATTATTACGTTGTGTCTATAGGTAAATCTAGTTATAGAAGTAAAATAATGTCTGGTTAGTATAATTATAGTATGATCATTGAATGTGTGACTATGATTATATTATGACCATTCTTCGAAAATCTGATATGTTGCAATATCTAAATTGAAATATGAAATATGATGGCAATGGTGGTAGAGTTGAAGGGGCATGGTCACTTTAAAAAGTTGAAGCTTGGTTCCTGGATTCACAATGAAATCGATAATCATAATCTTATTATATGATCAAAAGGTGGGCATCGAGTGTTTAGGCTATTATATTAACTCGATCGATAAAAACACTACAACATAATAAATTTATGCATTATGAACTCTTTGACCAATTATAGACATGCAATCAAAAATTTTGATTAACAAATCAGGCAAAAAAATCTTGTAACATAATGTCCCTAATGATAAAGATAAATTCCAGTAGGTATGTTCTTCAAAAAAACTCAACCAAAAACACAAATTATTGGCAAATGCAAACACTTCTTTTATCTTACTGGATCAGACATATGGATGATTAAGAGGTTTATTAACTAGTAAGTGATTTTGCAAACAGCAACCTAAATAATATCAACAAAATCAAATTATAACACCAAACATAAATGCTTGATGTTAAAATGAAACCAGATAATACCAAACTATATCAACAAAATCATATTATAAACTTCATTGATTTCAAAAACAAAAATCATGTGTTTAGTATTTAAGTACTTGATTAATTAAAAATATCACCAACTTATCACGAGGTATATAGAATCGGAAAAAGAAAGTGGGATTCCAAACCACAAATTGGGAATAAAGAAAGTCATATGCTTCATCGATTCAGAAATCAAACATCACGTGTCGATCCAGAAGGTGTAACCGAATAAAAAAAAGTTGGACTTACTAGATGAAGAATTAGTAGTCGGCGGCAATAGGAAGTCTGGAGCGGCGATTAGAAAAGGGTCACTGATGTGGAAGATCAGAGAAGGATCGGAACTCTTCTCTATGATGAACGTTGTGAATGAACGTGTCTAGGAAATGAGCCTAATAACGTGAACGAAGGTGATGCTATTAGGGAACATGGGTATTTTGGTAATTTTTACTTTTATATATATATATATCCAAAGTCATATTTTAATTAAACTTAAATACATATGATTCTAAAAAACTTATCTAAAACTCTAAATTAAATATAATATTACTAAAAAAACCTTTCTAATATTAAAATTAACAATTTTAATTAGAGTAAATTGCACAACTAGTCCTATGGTTTGGGGTAATTTGCGCATTTTGTCCCTAACTTATTTTTTTTAATTTGGAAGATCCTTACTATTTGTTTTTGTTACACGCTTAGTCCCTATTGTTTGTTTTTATTACTCACTTGGTCCCTATCTTACCTAAAAAGACTATTATTTAAATAGGGAAAAATGGTGGAGTAGGTAAGTAAGGTGAGGGGGAGGAGTTGGAAGTTTGTTTATTTAAATAAATTAAAAAAATCAAGGGCAAAATACTATTTTTAGGTAAGACCGGGACCAATCGCGTAAAAACATAAACAATAAGGACCTTCCGAGTTAAAAAAAATAAATTAGAGACCAAACAAGCAAATTATACTAAACCACAGGGAGCAATCTAGACCTGACAATTTGATACACGACCGGACACGATACGAGTTTTCCGTGTATGTGTTTTAGAAATTCGTGTTTCGTGTTTATTCGTGTCTGACACGTATTTTAAATTTGTGTTTCGTGTCTTACATGTGTCAAACACGAATTTACCTGTTTAGACACGTATAAGACACGATAAAAATGTGTGTTAACACGTGACACGTAAAAACACGTATATACACATATATATACTTTAGGGTTAAATTTTATATTTAAAATATATTAGGGACCAATTTCGTAAAAATCAATAATTAGTTTATAGACCTAGCTTAAAAAAACCATTAAAAACATGTCTATTCGTGTTTTTACGTGCTTTTGTGTAACACGGCTAAATAACGTATATATTCGTATCTTGTCATGTGGCACACAATTTTTTTATGTGCCTTGTTCGTGTTTGATATCCCAAACATCTTTTATAATTTGTGTCTTATTCGTGTTTAACAAATTCGTGTAAGGTCCAAGTCCAGAGCAATCGTGTAACTTACTATTTTAAATATGATTAATCTGATTAAATAACGATTGTCTGCACTTGTTCGTCGACCTTGAATCGGCTAAAGACGGATTGCTGAGCGTATCCTCCACTTGTTCATCGACCTTAACACATTAATTGTAAGCTTTCACAATCAAGTAACTTCTCCACATTTTCAATATTTTCCAATGGATTCTCTATGTGTGCTCAATTGTTTCTCCGTCACAATAATGCATCTCCTATAGAAACCCATTCCGCAAGGGAATTCACCGTAATAGGAAAAAAATGTCTTGGGTTGTGATTTTTTGAAGCCAAGAGCTACTCTCATCGTGGTCATTGCTTGATATTTCAACACAAATTCTGCCCTCGTCTGTGATGTTTCCACCCTAACCAGGTTACAGGTAGTTTCTTAGAATTTTGTTATTTTTTTTTTATAAATTTCCTTAATTTCTGCGTTTTAGAACTGCAAATGTATTGATAGTATTGATTCGGGCCATAAATTCTATTATTGCATATTTACTTGGGTATTATCATGCTTACTTGATTCTATGTATTCGAGTTTCTTAATTTTTGCACATAAGATGTTTGACAAAATGTCTAAAAGAAACATTATGAAGCTAACATAACAATATTTGTTCTCAGAGAAGAAGAGACACTGGGGAAACGGAAATGAAGTCAATGATGTCTCATGGGCAAGTTCAAACCTTCCGACTAAACCATCAAGTGAAATTTGGTGAGCAAGTTGGAGTCTTGGGGTCCACAAAAGAATCCGGCTCATGTAAAAAGAAGAACAAGATGGGGAGTCTCATGGTGCCTTCTATTATGCTTGTTTTTTGTGGTGTGTTTGCTGAGGGACCAAATGACTCCAAACTTGGACTAAAAACCGCTATTGGTATCATTGTTTCTAGATTACTAGTGCTTCCTGTGTTAGGAATTTGAGTTGTAACTTTTATGTCCATTTGAGTTCTAGATTACAAGTGTTTCCTTTGTAGACATGTATATATAAAATGATGTTTTCATAGGTTAACTTTTATGTCAATTTGAGTTGTAACTTTTATGTCAATTTGAGTTCTAGATTATAAGTGTTTCCTTTGTTGACATGTATATATAAAATGATGTTTTCATAGGTTAAGTTGGTTATGGTTATCAGTTTATATTAGTTAACCAGAAAGATTATAATTTAGAGAAGCTAAAGTACATTGCATTAAAATTTGAGAAAAAACAAAAAACAAATAAAACTACATTGATATTAAAAGATATAAAGTCAACAAACTGGTTGTTCATTATACTACATATTATTATTGCACATAAGCATAAGCCACAATTGACAAATTTTAAGCATAAGCTACATATTTTGGTCATCTAGTCAAACTACAATTGCTCCCTGTTGCAAAAAAATGATAGAATTGGTCCAGTTAAAATATTTTTAAATTTTGATTTTTAAATTTTAGGGAGATAACTTTGTTTTTAAATTTTGATTTATTTTGGATTTAGGAAGAAAATACATATTTTAATATTTAAAATATTTTTTTGTCTGTTTTGTTGTACGAGTCGTGTGTCACAAGAAAGTTATACTTATTTTATATGTGTTTTAACGGGTAAATTTGTTCCTCACTTATGTAAGACACGCAACAAAAATTTGAAATACGCATCGAAACAAATACATACGGAACATGAACTTATCAAACCAATAAATGAAAAACATGTCATCTACATATTGTGTCAGTTGGGTTGTGCATCGAATTGTTAGGTCTACTATAATGGCCACCCTTTGGTTTCCTGCTATACTGTCCTAGTGTGTGCTTTGTGGATTTGTTATATGTGACTACATATGATGACAAGTAGTCAGGAAAGATATATCAAGGTAGGGGTTGGTTAAGTTGTGGTATGTGGAGTAGGGAACACTTTGTAGCTATGTTGACAATTCTAGATAATCTTTTTATGTTATTTGGGTTATAATTGTATGGCAAAGTGAATTACGTTAGCGCTATATGGCAATGGAGTAGATGTTGGGTTATGAGCAAAACATCAATCATATGGTGCACATGCAAACCCTAAAGCTTTGGATCTAGCTTTTCCTAATTGTACATGCAATAATCATCTAAAGCTTGTAAACCCTAGATCTAGCATACCAAAAACGAAATTACATCTAATAAACAAGTTAGAGTGTTACCTTTGATTGTAGCTTGATGATCTTGATCGTATAAGAACCTAACACCTCAAATGTGACGCCTCTAATGAATCATAAACACCAAAAAAATTGGAGAATCTTAGAGAGAGAGGGAGGAGTCTCAAAATTTGGCTAGCAATCCTTCTAGGGTTTAAGTGCCGAAAATTGGATGTCCAAGGGGCCTTTATATAGGTGAGGAATTAGGGTTTCAGTCAAAGACCTAATTCGGTTGCTTAATCCCTAAGTAACCCATAGGAACATTCCAAAACCCTAGCCTTGGACGAATTTTTATGGACTACCGTAAGATTTCGTCCACCCCTACCTTTAGGGATCCTCAGCCCATTTTGCAACTATCTCATAATTACAACTCCAATGCCCTTAATTCTATTAACCTCTTTTGACCACAAAATTAATTCTAAATTAATTATTCACCAATGTTAATTAAATAATATGATTTCTCATTTAATATATTATTCATATAATATATTAATAAACAATAATAACCTCTTTCTCCACTAATTATCCATTCAAGTTGCTTTGGTGAAGGCAGCCCAAAAGGACCATGCTTCAATCGGGTCAAATACATACCAAATATAGTTATGGACTTAGACACTAATCCAACAGTCTCCTACTTGGATAAGTCTAATAACTATAAATGTAAGTACGACTTCAAAATCCAATTAGCAATTGTATCTCTCAAAAGCCGCTGTCAAACTCTGACACATCCTTTAGACAAGGGATCGTATAGTCCTCCGTTCTCAAGATATCGTGTGTACAATTACATGGAACATAGTCATACTTATTGTCTAGCAGTTTGTTTCTCGGTCTCTGATCTGTCTGACATAGAACTTAATTGAACACATCAATTTAGTCTTGACCAGGCCCGACACATAAGTCAAACCAAATCATCGAGGGGCCCAAGATATCGCTTTTAACCTTATGGGATAAAAGGAACAGATAAACTTCAACTTATATGCTCTTACTATTTACTCATCAAATCGTACACAACAGTGCATTTAATAACATCAAATTACTGATGTGTTATGCATTATCAATGCACAACCAACTATTAAACAACAACTCATATATCTAGGTTTAAAGACTATATGATATTATCATCTCACAATCACTCGTGATTAAATTCCATGAAGTGATTCATATGAGCACATGTATGATCTAATACTTAAATCTTATTTCAGGAGCACTCATGAACGTTGCAGGAAACATTTGCTATGTCTAAACATTCAGACAATCTACAAGCCAACTCAAGACACTCTTCTTTCATACCTACTTCCAACGTATGATCGATTGTGGATAGTTTAAATAATCTTATTATTTAGGAAGTCAAAACATGCAAAGTGTAACAATAGTAAATAATTAACACAAGACAATAACCTTACTCATAAATAATACTCATTTATTTAATCATCAAATATTAATTACAATTTATAGATTACAATTTTCCAAAATCTATTTAATCACTAAAACTAATATTGTCCTTCAGCCCAATGCTCCTAGCATGCTGCAAGTGCTTAACCCTACTCAGTCCCTTCGTAAGGGGATCTGTTGGGTTATCCTCTGATGATACCCTCTTCACTACGAAGAGTCCCTCTTCCACCCGATGTCTAATGAAATGATATTTTCTGTCGATATGCTTGGATCTACAATGATCCCTCGGTTCCTTGGTCAAGACAACCGCACCTTCATTATCACCGAAAATCTCCATAGGCTCTTTTATGGTCGGTACAACTCCAAGGTCTCCGATGAAGTTCTATAGCCATATTGCCTCCTTTAACGCTTCGTTTGCTACTATGTACTCTGATTTACATGTTGAATCAGCTACCGTCTCCTGCTTGGAACTTTTCCAAGTCACTACTCCTCCATTCAGGGTAAAGACCCAGCCCGACTGAGAGCGGAAATTATCTCGGTCGATCTGAAAATTGGCATCACTATACCCTCGCACTCTTAAGTCATCACTCCCACCGAGGATAAGGAGCCATTCCTTGGTCCTTCGTAGGTACTTGAGAATGTTCTTTACTGCGGTCCAATGTGCTCTACCAGGGTTCCCTTGATATTTGTTGACCATGCTCAAAGCGAAGGCAACATCAGGGCGAGTACACATCATAGCATACATGATCGACTTGGTATTGCTTTGGATTGGTAACTCCCCTTTCTTAGAATTTTCCGTGCTAAAATGTTTTAACACTTTATCCAAGTAAGTACTTTGACTAATTCCTATTAGTCTTTTACTCCTATTTCTCAATATCCTTATCCCAAGAATATAAGAAACTTCTCCGATGTCCTTCATAGCGAAGCACTTACCAAGCCAAGACTTAACCTCCTACATGATTGGGATGTCGTTTCCTATGAGCACTATGTCATCCACATATGAAACGAGAAAGCTAACTATACTCACACTAGCTTTGACATATACATAAGACTCATCCTCACTTCTCGAAAAACCAAACTCTTTGACTTACTCATCGAAACAAAGATTCCATCTGCGAGATGTTTGTTTCAATCTATAAATGGATTTCTTAAGCTTACACACTCTATTAGGGTACTTTGCATCAACAAAACCATCTGGCTGACTCATGTAAACATCTTCTATTAAGGAAAACAGTTTTGATATCCATTTTCCATATTTCATAATCATGAAACGCAGTTATGGCTAGCATAACCCTTATAGATTTAATATTTTCTATTGGTGAAAAGGTCTCATCATAGTCAACTCCGGGAGTTTGAGTAAAGCCATTTGCAACCAATCGCGCCTTATACGTGTGTATTTTCCCATCCATGTCGGTCTTCTTCTTGAAGATCCATTTGCACCTGACCGTCTTACGACCCAGGACATTATCAACCAAGTTCCAAACTTGATTGTCATACATGGACTAAATCTCGCTGTCCATAGCCTCTTTCCACTTCGCAGACTCCAGACCTGCCATGGTTTCCTTGTATTTGTTAGGTTTATCCAAATTTATTAGTGTACTATCACTAATAAACATATCATCTTCACTTGTTATATGAAAACCAGAAAACATAGGTGGAACACTAACTCTACTGGAACGTCTAAGAGGTAAGGACTCGTCAATCGATTCAACAGGATTTTCCTCCTCGGGTTGAGCGCCAGTGTTAGAGGTTCCTTCATCGCTTGATTCTTGAAGCTCTTCAAGATCAATTTGCCTCCCGCTCTCCTCTTGGCATATGAGTTCTTTCTCTCGGAAAACCCCTCTCCTTGCAATGAAGACAACCCTCTCACTCGGTCTATAGAAGAGATATCCAAAGGACTTCTACGGATAGCCGATGAAAATACACCTCTCACTTCGAGGTTCGAGCTTGTCGTAAGTCTCTCGTCTTACGAAAGCCTCGCAACCCTAAACCTTGATATGTGCCAACGAGGAAGCTTTCCCTATCCACATCTCGTGAAGTGTTTTGGCAACCTTCTTCATCGAGACTAGGTTAAGGATATGAGCGTCAATCTCTAAGGTATACCCCCAAAACGAGATATGCAACGAAGCTCGACTCATCATGGAATGAACCATTTCTAACAAGGTTCGGTTACGCCTCTCAGCCACACCATTCAACTGCGGTATCCTAGGTGGCGTCAATTGCGAAACAATTATGCATTCCTTGAGGTAGTCGTGGAACTCGATACTAAGATATTCACCACCTCAATCGGATCATAGCATCTTTATCTTCCTGCCCAACTTATTCTCCACTTCTTATTTAAACTCCTTGAACTTTTTAAAGGTTTCTGACTTGTGCTTGATTAAGTAGATATACCCATATCTGATATAATCATCGGTAAAAATCACATAGAAACGGTTCACATCCCTTGTGGTGGATCTAAAGGGCCCACACACATCGATATGTATGAGATCCAATAAACCCTCACCCCTTTCACATGTACCAGTGAAGGGTGACTTGTTCATCTTTCCAAGTAAA